GAGTCAGAGCCCACGCCTTGGGGGCGGAGGAGTCGGAGCCCACGCCTTGGGGTCGGACGAGGCGGAGCCCACGCCTCGGGGCCGGACGAGGCGGAAACCTCGTCCTCGGAGTCGGACGAGGCATGGCCCGGCCCCTGGGTGTCGGACGAGACCGCAGTTGCGTCCTTAACCATCGGATGAGCCGACGTGACGCTCGTTAATCTTTTGGCTCAGATACCCGGACATAGATATCCGGTAGTATTATATTCATTCACAAACTTAACTTCCTCTGTTTCAAACTGCAACTCATTTAAATTTTGTCCCAAGTCAAACTTCTCTAAATTTAACCAAGTTTATTTATAAAAAATTGCACAACGTCTACAACATTATGGATATTAATATATTTTCTATAAAATTAGTCAAAGTCTAACAAGTTTGACTTAAGGATGAAACTGAAACGGCTTACAGTTTAAAATGGATAGAGTAATACTTACTATGCCTTAAAAGGTTATATAACCCATGCTGAAGCCCGCCGGGTAATTTTTTTGGATCCGGAACAGGGAGTACTAGCAATCCGGAGACACACTAATCCGGCCTGAGATGTTGCGTTTGGCTCGTAGATTACCTGTTTTTATTAATGGCAGATGTAGGTGATGTTGACCAATCATGTATACGGATATATGGTGGGCCCCACACGGACAAACCAAGTTTATTTGAAGATCAGACACTGCATGTGGAGTGGACACACAGTTCACTCTCACGGCTCAATGGCTCGGACTTGGACAGCAGGGTTGTGATTGTGAATTTCCAACGCCCTACCACCCTCGTTTGGAAAGCTACTGTAGATGCTAGTAGTATGCTGCTATTATCATCTCACTAAAGACGAAAAGAAGCCACCACACTTGATGCATAGTCTGTCGCTACTGTCGATGCTAGCCGCCGTGCCTATATAGTGTCAACCGTCCTGTTCGTTTGGTCTTATTTGGCTTATAATATAAGCCGTATTTTTTTATCTAACAAATAATATTTTTCTCTCACGTCAAATCAACCAACGGTAATTTCAGCCATGGCTAATCAGCCAAACTAAGTTCAAACGAACAGGACGAACCTAGATACGACGCCCAACTGTCACTTGTCTGCAGGGACAAACAAGTAAAACACGACAATCATAGTACGTGGAGTTTATTAGCTGATCTCTTCTCTGGGACAACTTGTTGCCATGCATGGATCGATCGGGATTTGGTGAGCTATAAATTGCCGTAGCATGTTCATGGCACCGGGTCGATCGCGATGATCGGCGAGCTCGACTAGGACGTCTCGGCACGGATTAACTGCGGCGCATGGGATCAAATTGTTCGGAAAGTGCTATGCGCAAAGACGAAACGTACGCTCGGTTTGTTCAGCTGTTCCGGGCGGGCGGCACCATGATACGATGCATTATACGGATGGATCAATGGCATCGATCACCAATACCACGCACCATCCATGGATTTTATGGAGACCCCAATCATAGCCTACTAACATAGTGGTGGCTATCGCAGCGCAAGGCATGGAGATGAACCAGTAGCACATCATCATCATTTGCCTCCACATGTTTGGCGACCTAGAGCGCACATGCAGGGCGATAGCACCAGCAGGCAGGCAGGCAGCCACAGCAGATATGATGCCGGTCAAACACATACGGGCCAGGAACTGAAACCCAAGATGCATATGGCGGCCAATATGCATATACAAAAATAATAAAGCTGCAAGACCCATATACTACTCAGCTCGGGGCTAGCTGCATGCTGGGAGAAATGCATGGTGCGTCGACATGACAGTGCATATGGCCTGCACTGCAAGTAGGTACGGTGTGCATTGCTAGCTGGTCCGGGCGGGCAGCCACCAACTCGCCGGATTATTACCCTGCCGGGTGCCGGCTGCCGGCTGCCGGCTGCCGCACCGTTTGTGATGAGCCAGGAATTGAAGGAGACTTGGTGGCTGGCACGCGTCTTGGTCGATGGATCGTCCATCACACCGCCGGCCTGTCTCTACTTGTTTGGAGAGACCAGCAGCTTATTAATCTAGCGTTGTTCGTGGTTACCCGGAAGGTCGGTCGATGGTCGCTAGTTTAAGCCATTGGACAAACAGAAACAGTTTTTTTCTGAAGAGCAATTGTTCCCTCACATCCGACTGCATGCGTTGCAGCATACATACGGCCAGGGGCTGTTGTAGCTAGAGATGCTCCATGAGATGATGAGTGAGACCATGAAAAAAGTGGCAAGCCCATGTGAGTGTTCGTGGCGACGCAATATTATGTTCCGTTGGAGCTGGTGACATTTGCTTTCCCTCTTTCCTCTTTAAGAATGATATTATATGCCTGGGCAGGGTTGTGTTAGCTCGATCAGGGGCCCGTATCTCAGCAGCTGCACAGTAATCCAACAAGTAACTATTGGACACACAGCACACACAGAAAAAAAAAGCGAGAGGACATGGCATATTCACAGCAGCAAGCATAGGGGTACGTTCCCGTACGCAGGGCAGCAGGCGCACTGGGCACACGCTGTGCAGGCAGCGCAGGGCAGGGCTCACATGCATGCATGCGGGCGCGGCGCCGCGCACAGGGGGAGGGGCCGGAGGAGGAGGGGGAGGTGAACGCGCTGCGCGCGTCCGTCCCCTCATCCCCTGGCCACGCCGACCACGGGGGGGCTGCCTTTGCGCTTTTGCTCACCCGGCGGCCGGCCTGCTCCACCAGCAGCCGGCCCTTTTTCCCCATGCCGAGCAGAGCTCCGTCCTGAGCACCCGTCCGTGTCCGCCCGTACCGTCCGTCCTCGGATTCGGTCGCACCGCCGCCCCCGCCGCCGGCCGCGCGCGGGCATCTTGGATCCTCAGACCCACTTCGATTCCCAAGCCCATACAGTAGGCCGGGGGCGGAAAAGCGCGATCGCGTGAGGCGAGGCCACCTGCATGCATTTCGTTGCGTGACTGACCCCTGTCCCTGACCTTCCACCAGGGCAGGCTCCAGCCAGCGCGCGCGGCCATGTACCGTCGCTGTGCCACAGCTAGCGTAGCGGCTACCGGCTGCGTACAGGCTAGCAGCCAGTAGCCACGCGTGTCCGCGGTCCGCACTCCGCAGCCCGCAGGCAAGGCATGTTGGTGGCCTTGGGATTTGTGGTGGGGAAGGATCTGTCTCGGGGAGGCTCTGCGTTTACTGCCTGCCTTCGCCTTGTGACTGCCGCCTCGCCGCATGTTGGGTGAACGTCTTTTCATGCCGGCGCCACCAGTGGGTCGTCTGAAACGTCGTTTTTGGTTTCTGGACGACCGGCCGGACCGGGCAGGGGCAGCGCGACTCCTGTGACTGTTCACTGCTGTTGCCTGCTTCGCCTTGGGAACCACCACTTCATGGTGCTTTGCTCTTTGTATGGCCTATGGCTAGCTACCAAAGCAGCCGGAACGGTAAACTTGTGCTGCAGCGGTAACTTTTTCAACGTTCGTACTACGGGGAGTACTTTGTGAACCACCGTGACTAGCATGGCTGTATGGGCAACTGACTAGCATGGCCATCGTTTCCCTTTTGTGAGTGCGGTAGAAAGAAGAACAGACAGAAGTACAGATCAGGAACTCGCCTTTTGATTCAGTTCGCATTTCGCAACCACGGAGCGAAAAAAGAAGAGCTCATACCAGATAGAATGAAGTTTGCTTGATGGGAGAGCAGATTTTTTTTTTTTTGGTATCAGTATATAACTGCATTAGACTTGCACAAGTTTATATGGAAATAAACTGTGGAAATTCTCAGAGTTCACTGACCCAAATGGCACAACTGTAGCGCGTCTAAACAGCATGCAATCCTAGTATCCTACGACCTGATAAGAATCGAACTGGACATATAATTGTTTCTTTGGTTAATGTGTTACTAACCTGGAGCAAATTTACTGCTTTTCAGGATGCTGGCATCATCTCAAGCCACTTCAGTCCTGTGGTTTTGACTACTTATTAGTTGCCTCACCACGAAAGCAGATTTTTTTTTTGGTACGTAGCATCTTTTCACCAAATCAAGTTGGTTAACATGCGAATAAACGCGCTTTGGTGCCTCAACAAACAAAAGGTATAATCACAAACAAACAAAATTCAATCTCATGCTGATTTACATCATTGGATGTTCTGTGTAAGTACATAACAAGTTTCAGAGTTCAGGTGCTTCCATGTTTGTTCAATAAAAGACGGAGCAATCTGGATCTACAATCTTTGGCACCACGAATAATAATCACCTAAAGGTTGATTGGCTGGACAACAGAAACTCCTGATATTACTGCATAACAGCAAATAATCCAAAAAAGAAGGGAGGGGGGACATAACAGACTGGCTTGCATGCAACTGCTGTTGTATAGGATAATGCAACCTCATCTAGGCCCTGAAAGAATGGATTCAGTCTGCATAGTTACATCATCCCAACGTTCTGTTCTATTCGCCACCATTAGGTCTATATTTACAAGGTCCAAATCAAGCACGGTTTCGACGCTCATTGTACCTTCAAGGATCTTGACCACCATGGACATGGGAGGCCTTCTATTGCTATCAACTTGCAAGCACCACATAGCTAGGTTCATGGTCCCGGAGCACTTCATCTATATGGAATTCCATATCAGTGGAGCGTGGATCAATGAGATTCATCAGCTGGTTGCCTTTGGCTTTCTCTTGCAGCATGCTGATGAGATGCTGGCTTCCTTCAGGCTGTGAGTAGTCCAGATTTCTTCTTCCACACAAGATTTCCATGATGACAACGACAAAGCTATAGACGTCAACTTTTTCGGTGATGACAGATGTTAGCCAGTCAGGGGCTTACTAACCCGGTGTACCTCTCAGTCTAGTCATTACAGTGCTCTGCTCACGATCAATTAGCTTGGCAAGCCCAAAGTCAGATACCTTAGCAGCAAACATCTCATCCAATAGGATGTTTTGTGGCTTGATGTCCAGATGAGCTATTGTTTGTCAACAATCACTGTGAAGATAAGCTATTCCTCTTGCTACACCAGTGATGATCTTCAATCTGGTCTTCCAATCAAGTGGGCCCACTTGGTGCTTTGTGAAAATCCACTTATCCAAAGATCCATTAGGCATGTACTCATAGACAAGAAGCCTATGTGATTCTCAGCACAAAATCCAATTAGACTCACCAGATGTATGTGGTTGATTCTTCCAACGGTCTGAACCTCCATTAAGAATTCCATTTCCCCCTGATTTATGTCATCCAATCTCTTCACAGCAACCTGCATATCACCAATATGTCCCTCAAAAACAGAACCAGATCCTCTAACCCCAATTTTCCTTGAGAAATCTCCAGTTGCTGATTTCAAACTCCCAAAACAAAATCTTTTGGGCAGCCCTGGCAACTGATCAATAATGTCTGTGTCTTGTAATAGTTTTGCACTCCTTATGACAATGAGCACAGAGACAATAACTGAGGCAACAAAAGTTGAAGAACCAACAACCACGACAATGACAATTTTTTCTTTAGATAGCATGGGTTTGTGCTCTTGAACTTTAACAAATGCATAAGAACTAAAATTCCTAGAGTAACTGTGCGTTGATGCTTATCATTGAGAAGATGTCAGATGCAAGAAAACAGAAACCAGAAGAACTGTTCCTGTGAAGGAAAAATGCAACCTTGCAAGAACAATCATTCAAGCACGATACTTTACAGTGCTCTTCGTTTGTTGTCCAATTGTAGATAGTATTGAAGTGAGTGGTGTTGGGAAGGGAAAGAAACCTTGTCTTCTGGGCTGACCCACAGGATAGTGAATCTGTCAAGGAGCAGCCACGATTACGCTCCCTGGGATAAATCAGTTTGAACAATCCGGACTGCCTGAGGGCTTCATCTGGACAGCTGCACTGTCCATCTGAACAGACACCATATTCCCCACAAGCTAGAGGGTAAGAACAAGGATCAGCTATATGAAGAAGATCTGAGTTCACCCAATTGCCATTTCCCCCCTGGTATAGCCTTAAGTGCCCATCCCAATCTAGCCTCACAAACTCCAGTCCATAGGCATTCATGGGAAATTGAATGGAATAATCTGATCCCTCTGTTCCTCTGAATGAAGTGAAAACCTCCAGGCTTCCATTCTTGAGTGCTATGTATGCTGAAGTGTTTGCTATGACATTTCCACCAGTGGGACTTTGATAGTATGCAAGAGGAGTGTCAACTCCTGCAAATGCGTACATGCCGTTGGAAAGTACTGTGAGATAGAACTTTCCTTTGGCCCAATTTGTAGCTGAGGTACTTGCTATGAGTTTCTGCCCGAAATGTAGCACCTGCCAGTGACAAGGGTGTCAGTTGGGTGATCGAAGGACCTCCATACTTCCATATTTCTATGATCTAAGAGCACCAGATTGCCTGACCCAGTGAGATTCATGCCAACCACTGACTTGCCAGTGGTATTGGTGGACCAAACCAGTGTGCCACCTGCATCATACAGCACCAAGCCACCAAGTTCAGTAAGTTGAACAGTTGCATTCTCTTTGACTGGCCGGTCGTGGTTGGCAGACCAGACTACATGGGGTGATGTCAAGTACAAAACAGCACCTATACTGAAGGCATTGACAATGAATATGGAAAAGATGTAGGTGTTACGAACCTTGGGGATCTGAGAGCATAACCACTCCAGAAGTGGAGATGGGTATATATAGAGGGCTAGAGAGCCTCATGGGCCGGGTCAAATAGGCCTATAATATAAGAGCCTTCGTACATTTAACACCCCCTTCAAACTCAAGGTGGAAGCGGAGGATTGGAAGCATTGAGTTTGATCAAGTGAAGCCGATGCTGCTCTCGAGTTTGTGCTTTAGTGAGAAAGTCAGCCAATTGCAACTCTGAAGGCACATTGGAGAGAAATAGTTTTCTGTTGACAATGAGACCGAGTAAAGAAGGCATCTACACCAATATGCTTTGTAAGTTCATGCTTCACGGGATAATTAGCAATTTGTATGGCCCCTATATTATCACAGAGAAGAGGTGTGGCAACATCACAAGAAACACCAAAATCAGCCAACAACCATCGAAGCCATACAATCTCTGCAGTAGTAGTAGCAAGGGCTCGAAGTTCAGCCTCCGTACTAGAGCGAGATACAACTGCTTGTTTCTTGGACTTCCATGCAATAGGAGAAGAGCCAAGAAGAATGCAGTATCATGTGATGGAACGTCGATCTGTTGGGTCACTCACCCAAGTGAAATCCGAGTATGCATGAAGCTAAAGCAGACTATCATGTGCATAGAATAAACTCTGAGATGATGTCCCCCGTAAGTATCGCAGCACACGAAGTAAATGTCCAAAATGAATAGAAGTTGGGGCACAAACAAACTGACTCAAAATATGGACGGCATGAGCAATATCAGGCTTGGTGACGGTGAGATAAACAAGGCTGCCCACAATATGTCGATATCGAGAGGGATCCTCAAGAGGTACCCCATCATTGAGACGAAGCTGCAAGTAAAGATCCATAGGTGTAGCAGCAATTCGGTTATCAGTGATGCTTGAACGAGCAATAAGATCCTGTATGTACTTAGATTGAGAAAGATGATATCCCTTGGTGGATTGCTTGACCTCAATGCCTAAAAAATAACTGAGAGGACCCAAATCAGACATCTAGAATTCAGCACTAAGCTGTTGCTTCACATAAGAAATGTGATCCTCATTATCACCCGTAATCAGCATCATCAACATATAGAAGAAGCAAAGTACGACCACGCTTTGTAGCAAAAGGTGTAGGACCCCACACATCTGAATGAATAAGATCAAATGGTCTAGCAGACTGAGAAACACTAGAAAAATAAGTTGTATTTGTTTGCCAAGTTTACAACCCTTACAATGAAAGCTAGACTCAATAGATGCATGACTTAAACAACCTTTATTTATCATGGAGGACAAACGAGACCCACAAAGATGACCAAGACAATGATGCCACTTGGAGAAGGAGGCTGAAGACGATGCAGCGAATGATGCATGAGCTGTAGATGCAACAGACGAAGGAAGACGTAGGGTGTCTAGAACATAGAGGCTGGAAGCACCTTTACGGCGATGGCCAGTCCCAATCACTTTCCCGTTGCAACGGTCCTGGATAAAACAAGATGAGTCATCAAAACCAACAAAACAATTTTGGTCAGTAACTTGACCAACCGATAGAAGATTCATAGACAACTGAAGTACAAAAGAAACATTGGGTACAGAAAAATGATTATTACAAAGTGAACCCTGATGAGTGATATGACAAGAAGTACCATCAGCTGTCTGAATAGAAGCGCCATCAGTGACCGGCTTGCAGGCAACCAGCTACGACTGATCGGATATCACATAAAAGGAGGCTCCAGAATCAAGCACCCAAGACGAAGGAGCACTGACAGTCAAGGAAGCAGCAACAGAAACAGTTCCAATAGAACCTGAACCTCGAGGAGTGGAAGAAGTACCACGACCACGAGCAGCACGACGGGCATGAAATTCAGCCAACTTCTCTGGATGCTTAGCAAAACAGGTATCTGAACTATGATTAGTCCTGCCACAATGCTTATAGGGTTCTTTGAATGCACTGGTCCTCTGAGAAGCTGCCAACACACTGTGAGGGTGAGGCACAGAAGAAGACAAGGCCTGAAGACGTGTCTCTTTAGCAAGTAAGTCAGACAATGCCTTTGCCATGGTCAGGGTAGAGGAAGTATGAAGCAACCTTGTACCAATAGAATCAAACTCTGCCCTGACTCCCATGACAAATCTGTAAGTAAGAAACTGCTCAATAAATGAAAGTGCTGTACAATTCTGACCTGCTGTACACTGGGGTACCATGGGTACCAAAGAACCCATTAAACCATCAAAAGCAGAATAGTACTCATCAATGGACATGTCTCTCTGTTCAATAACATGAAGCTGCTGCATGAGAGTATGTTGAAGGGCACCACTTTCCTGAACATAGCGGTCCTTCAAATAAGACCACATAGGTTTGCTTGCTTAAACTTGCGCAGACTCATAATCATGGTTTGTTTAACACTGTTAACCATAGCAGCCATGATTTTTCCATCATTGATTTCCCAGGTTTTGACAGCAGCGGCATTACTATTATCAGACTTAAGAGTTGGTGGATCATCAGTCAAATGAAAATAAAGACCATGACCCCTCAATGCAGTTTCAACAGTAAAAGCCCACTCTAAATAGTTCTGGCCATCCAGTGTGATGTTTATGACAATAGCAGAAAGCTGAGACTGAGACATGAAGGACTCTGGACAATAGCAGTAAAAGGCAAAGAAGTGGCAGGGATATCACCACAACTGAGCGGTCGCTCCAAAGACAGGCAGCGGGCGTGAAGACAGGCAGCGGGAGTTCCACGCGTAGCACCGCGCGTGAAGAAGTCCGCAGCCACCGCCACGGGAATGCCGCGCACGTGAGGACCGCGCGTGGAGTCGGAGACCGCATGCCTGGAGTCGGATCGCGTCTGCGTGTCTGCGCGTGAAGGCCGTGTCTCCGCTGGAGTTGGATGGCGTCCGCGTGAAGGCCGCGTGTCCGCGAAGAAGTCCGCGCGTCCGCACGTGAAGTCGAGTCGGGCCTGTCCGCGCGTGAAGTCCGCTCCGCACGGGTTCGCTACCGCCCGCGAGTCGAAGATTGCGGGCGACGGAAGAGCTCGCGCGGGGACGAAGACGTCAGACGAGTGGGCGATGGGAGACACCAGCGCACGGCGACGGGCCGCACGAAGAGGAAGGAACGGCGTGACGACGGGCCGCACGAAGATGAAAAACCGCCGCGACGACGGGCCGCGCGGAGCAGAGAAACGCATGATGACAGATTGCGCGAAACAGAGGAAGGTTCCCAAGGGGGAAAAATTGGATCGTGGGTGAATTAGATCAGGCTAATCCTAACCCTAATCCATGGCTTTGATACCATGTTACGAACCTTGGGAATCTGAGAGCATGACCACTCCAGAAGTGGAGATGGGTATATATAGAGGGCTAGAGAACCTCATGGGCCGGGCCATATAGGCCTATAATATAAGAGCCTTCATACATTTAACAGTAGGCATCGCAAGTGGTTGTAAGTCCTGTACAAAAGAAGCTGCAGGCAAATAAAGGAACAATGTCCACAGATGACCCGACACTAATCCTGGCGGTGCCATAAGGACGAGATAAGATGAGACGCACAGAAAAATTATCATCTAGAAACCCACTGTGGAGAATAGATGGGTTGTTTTTCCATATGATGCCGAGCTCAGCATTAGGTAGAAAGGATTTGGTCATGGCAGGGTTAGCGAGTTTGGAGTAGATAGTAATAAGGAAGGAAAAGAGGAGCAATAAGAGCTTTGAATGATACATGGCTACAGACCTCAGCTGTTTTTTTTTTTTTTTGGTATCAAGGAAGAACAGCTAAAAGGATTGTAGTTTCAGAAACTTTGTACGTATGGATTGGAATAAAGGTGGAATGATCAGAAGACACGGTAATCCACCTTTGTATTTCGTATGGTAGGATGATCCTGCATGTTATTTCAGCTGTGCTAGTCTCTTAGTGATTGGGAATTGGATTGAGGGCATGAGGCCTAAGCCCTAAGGCACTTGGTGCCATTTTAATAGCACAGCAGATGAAAGGAGGATGCCAAGCGCTCTGGATTCTTCTTCGTTTCCACCCAACTGTCCATCAAACTACAGTTCGTTGTTTAGTCAAAGGGCCAACCCCGAATCAGCCATTATTCTTCATTGGCTAGCCATATTTAGTTAATTTTTCTAATTCTCAATATTTTCTCTCTCGTGTTGCTGTTAAAGCACATTTAACTGAACAGACATTTGTTATCATCAACAAACCGGTGTAGACAGTTATTGAGAAATAAAATGATTAAAATATGCTGAAATGGTTAGTGAAGTTTTGCATTTTACAATAAAATTTTAAAATGTGCTTAGGAAGTTTGGAGCTGTCCCCCTAATATTGGCCTCACTGTAGCATCAATCATTCATTTTGGCAAACTATGTATGAGCATGCAGGGGCATAGGATGGCTAAGATCAAGGGCCGACTCTGTTTTCTAAGGGTTGTTTAGGTATATGTCACTATTAAGTTGTCAGGTTTGAAGTATGGCACTGCAGATTTTCAGAATGATTATACACTACTGCTAGATTTGTCCACTCATAATCAGGCACCGATATCATCCTTAGAAGCATATATCACACTACTGTACTCGTGAAGGAAGATATGCTCGGGAATAGAATGGATTGATTAATGAGAGGTACAGGGCCTACAATATGTAGGCAAGGATATCCTAGGGTTTATAGAATCAAATACCCAATCAACGAAGATCCTTGCCTAATACTCAATCATCTACCAATAAACCCCCTGGGCGCCTAGGCCCATGTGGCCAGCCCATTAACCCTCTAAACCTCATTCTAACATGCCCCCGTAGTCTGATCGTCAGCCACTGCGCACGTTCAGACTGGACCTGAACTCCATGAAGACTGAAGAAGGAAGACCTTTGGTGAAGATATCCGCATACTGCGACGATGTCGGTGCATGAAGGACACGCACATCACCAACGGCAACCCGTTCCCGAACGAAGTGGAGGTCGATCTCAATGTGCTTGATGCGCTGATGCTGAATTGGGTTGGAGGACATGTAGACCGCGCTGATGTTAGTCACAATAGACCAGCGTGGCACGGCGAAGAGGGTATGGAGTTCCTGAAGGAGCTGACGCAGCCAGGCAGCCTCAACTACACCATTAGCCACTGCGCGATACACATCATAGCCCGAGGTGGACTTGCGCGTATCTGGACAACCAGCCCAATCAGCATCAGTGTAGACAACAAGATCAGACAATGAAGATGGTCGCAGCAGGAGCCCCAAGTGAAGAGTGCCTCGAACATAGCGAAGAATCCGTTTGAGCGCCGCGAGATGGGGCTCACGAGGATCGTGCATGTGAAGGCAAATCTGCTGAACAGCATATGCAATACCTGGCCGAGTGAACGTCAAGTACTGTAAGGCACCAGCGAGACTGCGAAAATCAGAGGCATCTGCCACTGGTGCGCCTTGAGCAGCGGAGACCTTGGGATTGGTGTCGATTGGAGTAGAGCACGGCTTGCATTCTGCCATCCCAACGCGAGCAAGGATATCCATCATGTATTGCCTCTGAGAAAGGAGAAGACCATCGCCACAACGCTGAACATGCATACCAAGGAAGTGATGCAGTTCACTGAGGTCTTTCATGGAGAATTCCTGCTGGAGAGCTAAGATAATCCGCCGAAGAAGATCGGGTGAGGAAGCGGTGAGGATGATGTCATCCACATAGAGCAGGAGATATGCAGTATCGGATCCGTGCTGATAGACAAAAAGCGAGGTGTCTGACTTAGCTTCAACAAATCCAAGGGAGACCAAATATGTAGCAAACCGACTGTACCAAGCACGAGGAGCCTGCTTCAATCCATAGAGAGACTTGTTGAGACGACAGACAAAGTCAGGATGAGCAGGGTCTTCAAAACCAGACGGTTGCACGCAATAAACTGTCTCGGTCAAGGTGTCGTGCAGGAAGGCATTCTTCACATCTAGCTGGTGGACAGGCCATCGACGCGAGAGGGCCAGAGAAAGCACTGTGCAAACGGTAGCCGGCTTCACCACGGGACTGAAGGTCTCATCGAAGTCCACTCCAGGCCGCTGGGTGAATCCACGAAGAACCCAGCGTGCCTTGTATCGCTCGAGAGAGCCATCAGCATGAAACTTGTGCTTGAAGATCCACTTGCTTGTGACCACATTGGCCCGAGGGGGCCACGGCACCAGATCCCATGTGTGATTCTGCAGCAAAGCAGCATGTTCCTCGTCCATAGCAGCGCGCCAATTCGGATCGGCAAGCGCGCTGTTGGACCAGCCGAACCGGGTGCCGCACATGGCTGTGCGGGAGGAGCACCAGAACCTGCAGGGAGGAAGCTTTGTGCGGACCCAATGGGAGCCGGCACATAGTCAGTCACATCCAAAAAATCAAAGTCAGACGGTGAAGAGAAAGAGCCACGCTCAGCATAGGGAAAAACCGACTCGTCGAAGACAACATGACGAGAGATGATCAATCTGTTGGAAGAGAGGTCAAGGTAGCGGTATCCTTTATGATGAGCGGAGTATCCCAAAAAACACACATGGTGGACCGGGGAGAAAGTTTGTGGCTGACTGTAGCAGACAGGTTGGGGTAACATTTGCAACCGAAGACGTGAAGATGATCATAGGAGGGCACAGTCCCAAGAAGGGCATGGTGCGGGGTGGAGGATCTAATCGTCTTGGTGGGCAAAATGTTGATGAGGTAGGTGGCTGTCTGCAGGGCTTCGACCCAGAAGGAGGGTGGAAGGGGTGCCTGAAACAGAAGGCAGCGAACAACATTGTTGATGGAACGGATGATGCGCTCAGCCTTACCGTTTTGGGGCGAGGTGTAGGGGCATGACATGCGAAGGTGAACACCATGGGAGAGGAAGAACGTGCGGGAACTCGAGTTGTCAAACTCCCGTCCTTTGTCGCACTAGACTACCTTGAGGGTGGTGCCGAATTGGGTGGACACATAGGCAATGAAATTAGCAAGCATGGAGAAAGCGTCAGATTTGTGTTTTAAAGGAAACGTCCATAAATAATGAGAGCAATCATCGAGGATAACCAAATAATATTTATAGCCCGAAACACTAAGAACTGGTGAAGTCCACAGATCACAGTGTATAAGATCAAAATTATTGGACGCTCGAGATGCTGACACATGAAATGGAAGACGCACATGGCGGCCTAACTGACATGCATGACAAAGCGAGGAACTAGTATCATGATGACAGGCAGGAAGACCAGACGACGCTAGCTTGGAGAGCGCCTCATGTCCATGATGATCGAGATGGCGATGCCACAGTGCAGACCTAGAGGCGGTGACCAGGGAGTGTGCAGTTGGCAGATGAAGAGGGTACAACGACCCAAAGCTATTGCACCTGACGATCACGTTCCAAGACTATAGATCCTTCACAGAACAACCAGTCGGGTCAAACTCAACAGAGCAATTGTTGTCAATAGTAAACTGGCGAACAGAAATAAGATTCTTAATAAGTTGTGGTGAGACCAAAACATTATTAAGACGTAAAGGAGGAATAACTATAGTGCCAGTGGCTGTAACGAGAAGTAAGGAACCGTTACCGACAACAATAGATGAAGGAGTAGGATACCGCGAAGGAACAATGTGTGAAAGAGTACCGGAATGTGAGGTCATGTGAGGGGAAGCACCTGAGTCGA